CTCGGCTAAAGCCCTCGGGTCCATTATTCATTTTGCGGGCCGATTATCACCTTCCGGCCCTCTCCTGTCGTGTATTAACCTCTTAGTAAGGCCCAAAGTTAGAATTCTGTTCCACGGTTTGGCATCCTTGGCAAAGATTAAGAGATTAATACACGGCAGGAGAGGGCCGGAAGGTGATAATCGGCCCGCAAAATGAATAATGGACCCGAGGGCTTTAGCCCGAGGGCCATTATTCATTCAGGGCCGATTATCACCTTCTGGCCCTACTCTGACGTGTATTAATGTCTTTAATACACTTGGTAAATCTAATAGATCTGGTAGCATTAAAAAAACAACAACAAATAGGATCTACTTTGAAGTTCTTTCGTTGAAATTCTTGTCTACTGTACTCTTCTACTGTTCTGTACAGAGATGTTTACTGTTTGTGTGTTCAAAGCAGTAGAATCTAGAAGCAAGTTTTATTTTCATTTTTTTTTCGGAATGAATTTGTCGTATTATTTCTTCAAATTTCAATAGTAACAAATATGTGTTTGTACTAAATACGCTTAAGCTCTCACAATAAAAATAAAGCGATTCGTGCTGACAACCTACTTTCACTTTCACAGTTAACTGTTTGATGACGTAAAATATGACGTCATTGTTTCAGTTTGTGCACGTGCACATGTTCTGCGGGCTGATAACTAGTTCTCGGCCCCGGGCCGCAAACTCATAATAGGTCACGTGACACTCATAATCAGTTGAAATCATAGGCAATTTTGTTACTATATATAGTAACAAGTGTATTAATTATGGTTTACAAACCAGGCAAAAATACGAAACATCGTTACTTTGTCGTGTTTTCGCATTTGACCTTGTGAAGCTTAAGTATAGCCACGGATGTATATTACAGTAATAAAAATCCGTGGTATAACAGAATGGCCATATTGTTGATTTTTTTGTGTGCCGAAATCACGAAAACATGAAGTTCAATCTCAAAATGTTCAATTTGTCATAATTTAGTGAATTCGTGTGGCGCCCCGTGAAGCAAAAGTACAACATGACACAAAGCGGTCACCATAGGGGTTTGGGACTACCAAAACCGGACAACCATCAAACCCGGACGGCACAGAAAATGCTTAATTTAGTATTTTCTTTGTTCAGTGGTTGTCAGTCACTTTTTTATCAACAATAAATGCATGCTTCTTCTAAAATTAAGTAAATAGATTTATTTCAACCTCCGTAAATGGTAATATTTTAATGTCTTTTTCAAGAATGTTGACGTTGAAATTTGGGGGCCAAGAAAGCAATGCCTGACCTCATATACCAGCTTTAATCATTTGCAGAGTAAACAATAGAATATCCAAAACTTCAGCATTTGATGCTGACATATTGTTTAACATGTTAAAAATAAAAAATCAAAACACCCAAGCTTTTATCTGAATTAAATCGCGTCATGTACATATCTGTCCGGACAAATCGTACTGTAGTGTAGACAATTTAGGTAATTTTGATACCCTCCTTGTCGATTCTCAGATATAAGTGTCAATACATTCAGAAATAAACAAACTAGTTTGTTAGTTAGGATGTACTGTATCAAATTTTTAGGTCTCTATGTTAAAGATTATGAAATCTGTACGGAAAAATGTTCAAAAAGTGTCCGGTTGATGGTCCCCGACCAGTACACTTTAAAAACATTAAATTTTCGCTTAGAAACCGGATAAGTACTGTAGCTTAGGGTCCGTTATGTCTTCTTTCGCGGAAAGTGTAGCTTTCCGGTACATCACTATTCTCCGCGCTTCGTGCAACAAACGTTAGAAAACTGTTTCCGGTCAAATTGAAAACACACGCTATCTATTTATTTCAGAATAAAGAAAATAGTGGCCGTTTTACAAATCTGATCAAAAGGTATGAAATAAGAAAATTTAATATACTGCTTAATTGCTGTTTTACACACTGACATTAAGTATTCTTGACTGTTGTAAAGGCCGGCAAAATTTCTAGACTTTTTTCGGATATGGTTAATTCGGACAGTATACTTCTAGTTATTTGTTCATCAAATTCGTGTTAAAAATATACACGTACCATTTGTTATAATGAAACAAAAGGTTTTATTCAACAGTAATTCTTCTAGATATGCATCCTTGTATGAGATGCCTCAAAGTCAATTCTAACACACTTCAGACATTTCCTCTATCAACTTCAAGCATTTCATAGGCTTATTACTTGATATATGCACAGCATAAGAAAAGAATGCTTATACATTATATGATGTCCATAAATAGCCAAATGACAACAGAAAAAATAATTCTATGCTTGTTGAAGTTCAACATCTTTTTATCAATTCTCTATCTTTTTATGACTATGAGCATGTTACTTTATTGTTAGAATGGAAATACATGTAGAGTAGATATTGATTTTTCTTGCATTATAGTATAATAATGCACAGTCTATCGTTCAAATGTATTGTTATTATCACTTTGTTGTAAATCAGCCGTTCCCTTTATATTTGTTACAGTGTAGAATTAATAATAGAAACTTTTGGCGTAGGTTTGTTAATAATTAATTTGATATAATACAAAGAAAAAGTCTTAATACAAAAAGTAAATAACTTAATAATAAGTTATTTCCTATTAAATTTTATTAAATAAACTTATAGAATTGATGTAGAAGTACAACTGTGTATTTAAACTTGTAAAAGAATAAAGTTAAAGTTAAGTGGAGAAAGAAAGTTTGCGGGAATTTGGAAGAAAGAAAATGTTAAAAACCAATTTAAAACTTTTTTTTAAAGCTTTTTTATACAACGTACAAAACGATTGGACTTACAAAAACTGTTTACAAAATTGCACGAGATACAGACATAGTTGAATTGTTTCGGCTGTTTCCGTGAATTTTCGCTAATAAGTGTACCTTACGGTACCATCCGATACAATACAACAGCAGACGATAACAAACGCCACAGAGACAAACGATAATTGAAGCATACGCAGACATTAAGATTACTTTTCCCGCGACTAAATGACGAACAGTGCGTGGCAAAATGAATAATTAATATAATAAATAAAACCCGTGACATATTGTTACAAGTGGTGTTTACTGTATATACAATATTGTGTATTACTTCAGGTAATCATCTGCTATGGACGGGGACCTTTATGATGAGTTTGGTAATTACATAGGTCCAGAATTAGATAGTGATGATGATGATGATAGCGATGACTCTGGGGACCAAGATGATGTAGAAAAGTACCCAGATTATGGAGGTGCCGATGTAAGTACAGGATACTACTCAGAGAAATGTTAAAATGAGCCGCGCCACGACAAAACCAATGTACTGCATTTGCGACCAGCATGAATCCAGACCAGCCCATGCATTCGCACAGTGATCAGGATCCATGCTGCTCGCTTACAAACCCTATAACAAGTAGAGAAGCTGATAGCGAACAGCATGGATCCTGATCAGACTGTGCATATGCGCAGGCTGGTCTGAATCCATGCTGGTCGCAGACGCACTATGATAGTTTTGTCGTGACGCGGCTCAAATTATCTCCAAACTCTTGTTAGAACAAAAAATTCTGGACAGATTTAGCTTCATCATTGACCTTTTTTATATGATAGATGAAATTCAATTATTTGTTTTAGATAGGCATTAAAGAATAGCATGTTTAGTGTCTGAAATGATAGAATTTGTGATAATTATACATTATAATAATAATAATAATAAAGATTTAATTTAAAGAGGCATCACAATTTGGCATGCTCAGTGTTCCCTATGAACCTAGATAAAATGTACATATATACAGTTTTGGACCGCTGAAATCATGGTCTGCACTTTCGTTTTGGTGATCTATCCTTTCTTGCATAATCACAAGAAAATCACAATTTCATATGTGTTGTTTTTGTGCTTGAAGTTTTATTTGTATGCATAAACATGTGATTTTTTTGCGAAATTTATACATATTTACTGCGCTTACCTGGAGACCTGCTTTAAATTAAACTCTTCAAAAAGTGACACAAAGTGTTCAATTTGACTAATGATAAATCATTTGATGGATAATATACCATCATTTCATATTCACGTTGTAAACAAGTCAGTAAATTACACTAAATGTTGGCTATTATGTTACACTAAATTACACTAAATGTTGGCTATTTTGTTACACTAAATTACACTAAATGTTGGCTATTTTGTTACACTAAATTACACTAAATGTTGGCTATTTTGTTACACTAAATGTTGGCTATTTTGTTACACCAGGATGAGGAAGCTATGGATCAAGATGATGAAGACGCCTCCGACATGCAGGTTGTTCTTCATGAAGATAAGAAATATTATCCGACGCCGGAGGAGGTTTATGGGCCAGAAGTCGAGGTAAGATACGTGTGTGTTGTCCGAGTATTAAATGTTTTAGAAAATACAGACTATTGGCAATTTGTGTATGATATAAAAAAAAAGCAATGACTCAATAAAATTGTTTTGTGTCATAGTTAATTCAAAGAGCTTTTCAAATGCTGTGGCCTGTGTAAGATAGGTTTTTTGGAATACAGTTGTGGGTGGAAAGATTAAATTGACCTTTTTGCACAGCCTGTACGGACAAGTGAAATATTTTCATAACATTTTATAGATTTTATACGGACAAGTAAAGAGATCCTTTAGCATAAATGGACAAGCAAGTCAAAATCTGATATTAGTTTTTGGTAAAACTATCTCATGACTTTGGTAAAATATGCATGTTACTTAAATATAGTAATCAACGATAAAATGATATTATAAAAATGCAATGCTTTCTTGAATTTCAGACAATAGTTCAAGAAGAAGACACTCAGCCTCTATCAGGTAAAGCATTTAGTAACAGAGTGAAAGTTTGGTTTATTTGGTAATTATCTATTTACCATTTAGGTCTGTAAGTTGAATTATTTGAGAGAGCTCAAATATAACAGGATACGAAACTTTGATGTAAGCATATAGAAGGCTGTTTACCCTTATTGTGTAATTGAGTCTAAAAGGCATACTATGCCTCGACAGGAACAAATAAATATTTCCTTCTTTAGAAAGGGCAAACATGAATTTTATAATGTTTAAATAATAGTTTTAGTGCATGTAAGATACTTATTGCCTGAAGAACTGAGCTGTAACCTTTATATGGTGGTTTTTAAGCATGTTAGATGCTTAACACCTGAAGTAAGTAACGCTAAATCTGAAATTAAATGTCATAAAAGTAGGAAAACGTGCACAAAGTAATATTTTGACTTCCATACAAAATACTAAATCACTATAACTGTACTAATTGCTAAAAAGCGACAGCAGCAACAGATGGTTCAGGAAATTGGCCAATGATTAACATTTTGGAAACTATGGTAGGTATAATGGGACATCAAAAATAAAATAGATTTTGAGTAATAAAAAATATAAGCATTCCTGAAGCGTATTGGGCCTTTAAAATGTGTGAAAGTAGATAAGTTAACATTAATGGTTTATAATTTTTATTTTTTCAGAGCCTATCATTGCCCCAGTGAAGAAGAAAAAGTTTTCTATGGCAGAGCAGGATTTACCAGATACTGTTTACAATATGGAGTAAGCTGCATTATATATATATAACAATTATCATAAATTGTCTTCTTGTAAAGACTTTAACTATATACCTATGTTATTTTTGCGACTTGGTAAAATAGTATGGCAAGCCCATGCATATATTTTGATGTGATGACACTTGCGTTATACAAACACAGCATTAAGACGCGCTTAATGTAAGCATTACACAATAAGTCAGTGATAAATGTTTCTTTTTTACTATAAGAGGTTCTTATTGTATGTATGTGATAAATAGAATATTATATTCGTGTAGAGGCTCATTTTTAAATTTATTGAACTTGTTGAAAAAATTAAAATAATGCTCGCCAGAGGTCTCGCATATTAATATGATTTTATTCAACTTATTCAATAAAGTCAGTATTAAACCTACATTCATTCAATATCCTCTTTATATTAAAGTGACATTATGCTCATATTTTCATAGTCAAGTTGAGCTGAACTGACTTTATATTTCCAAAGATTGACTGTCAAAATGGTGTTTGACTAACAGATGATATTGGAAAATGTTTAGGATAAAATTATAAATCTGCCTAAAATGTATAAAGACTGCCCCACTCTTTTTATAAACTAAGCATTATTGGTAAATTCTAAGAGGATATTTTTTCGTTTGAGTGAAATATGGAATATATTTTCACGAAACATGATAAAATGCCACATATTTTCACGAGCCGGTACGGCGAGTGAAAATATGTGGCATTTTATCATGTTGAGTGAAAATATATACCATATTTCACGAAAAACGAAAAAATAACCTTTTTATTTAATTTCATTATCAAAGAAAATGGTAACGAATCCCCTTGCTTGCTACCAACTGCAATTGTACAGCGCGCAGTAATTTATGCGTAAGCACGCGCTGCTTGGCGCAACATTGTGACGTCATGTAAACAACTCTTTAAACGTCTGTACAGCGTCAATTACTGAATAAAAGATATTGGCGTTCGGATTAATTTTCTTAGTTAGACCATTTTCTATCATTCTAAACAGTTTTCAAAACAAAATTCAAGAAAAAGTTGTTTTGTATTTATCAGATTTTTCAAACAAAATGGCGAAAGAAGTCCGTTAAAATAAATATGAGTTTTGACTCCGCCCACTTTCATATTTATTTTTCATATTTATTTTTAAAAAATATGAAATATATTTGACTGATATAGCACCATATTTCATGGGTAAAATTAAATAATAATGGATATTTACAGATTTTCTTTGGATCTGTGAGTTATTTATTGCTTATGTGAACTTGATTATAAAATTAAAAGGAATCATGACAAAATGTTCACTTACTATTGACCCTTAGATGGACATAATGTCACTTTAAACAAGCCTGAGAAGCATTATAAAGTGATCCTTTGTGACAAAACCACGAAATTTCATGTTCACGAAATTAAGTGAATTCAGAGTATATTTTATCAATAACAGGTTACCTGAAGTGATCTATAATTATATTTTTAAGTTTTTTCGCAGAACTTTTTGTAAGTTAATGAAACTCATCTTGAATAATTTTTTCACATGTTTTTCATCTTTTATCTCAAAAAATAGAAAGAGAGAAAATGCGTTAGTATGAAATTTAACAGAAAATTTATATATAATTTTGTGTTTTAGATTCTTGGCAGATTTAATGGACACACCTGAGTTAATCAGAAATGTTACACTTTGTGGACACTTACATCATGGGAAAGTAAGTTAATATAATGTTTTTTTGTTATTCAACATAGGAAAGGCTTGCTTTTAAAGCGACCTTCATTTTTTCTAAAGATTAAATATGTTATTTTTAGATAAATCATTTCATATTATTATCTAATCAAAAGAATTAAGGAGAAAAATGAAATTTGCCGGTGACAAAACATACATAAACAATAAGGAACTCTCTCGATGACTGTAATCTACAGGTCTGCCCTCTGTATTTAAATTAGTAAAGAAAACAGTTAGTTTCCTGATGTTCTATTTTTAGAAACAAACATCACAGGCACATTATAAATGGCTCTCGGGGACGCTGTTTTGAAGACAGCTTCACAGTGATATGATGCACTGTTCTTAGATAAAATTACTAAAATACTTTTAAATACTAAAAAAGTAGCGTAGAGTAGGTAGCAGAAAGGGAAAACAAACACTATATGAGCCGCGTCATGACAAAAACAACATAATGGGTTTGCGACCAGCATGGATCCAGACCAGCCTGCACATCCGCGCGGTCTAATCAGGATCCATACTGTTCGCTTACAAACCCTATTACAAGTAGAGAAACTGATAATGAACAGCATGGATCCTGATCAGACTGCGCAGATGTGCAGGCTGGTCTGGATCCATGCTGGTTGCCAACACATTATGTTGGTTTTGTCGTGACGCAGCTCATTTTATTTTAGGCCTAACAGAATGTTTATTGTTTACATTTCAGACAACATTTGTAGATTGTCTGGTATCACAGACTCACCCTGAGATCAACGTGAAAGATGATAAAGATGTAAGTATTTTTGAAAAAAAATAAATAGTCCATGAATTTAAGTACCCACTAAAAATTTCCTCGTGGGGAAAACCACGAAATTTCATGTTCATGAAATTAAGTAAATTTAGTGTTTGTGTGTTCATGTGATGAGTACTACATGAAAAAAAAGAAAACGAAAGAGAACTTAAAAGTTTGGTTCCAGACTTAATCTGGGCGCAGAAGGTAAAGTCTTTGCTTTATGGCAAATTGGATGTAAAGATTTATTTTTTAATCTTGGATTTTTAGAAGATGATCTACAGTGCTTTTCGGATTTTTATATTCATTTAGGTTATTCATTCTGAAAATATTAAAAATTTAAATGTAATTTATTTATTTATTTATTTTATTAATTTAATTAATTAATTGATTTATTTATTTATTTTGTGTGTTTCAGATAAGATATACAGACACTTTGTTTACAGAAATTGAGGTATGAGAACTTATTTTGTTAGTACTGCTACAGTCATGCTTATTTACAGTATTTGTTTCCAATTTTTATCCCCCTGCCCCTATATAAAAATCACACTGTCCATCTGTCTGTCCATTCCTCTGTGCAACCCTACTTCACAACATTCATGTCCGGACTGTAACTTTGGCGTGCATTGAAGGATTTAAAAAATAATATGGCACAAATGTCTTCCACATCATTTTGAGTTGTTGTGTCTAAGACCCATTTCCCAACCTCAAAAGTCGAGATCACACATCAAGTTTTTATTTCCTCAACTACCCAGTCCTTGATGTTGTATGTGGAACTAAAACTTTTGATCTCTGAGTTTACTATTAGGCTATTGTACAACTATGAGATCAATTTAATGCATTGTCAACTGAAAGGCCAACTAGTTTAGGTCACTTACTTAAAATAACTTGCTCCACACCAGTGTTTGGTTGAACGCTGCCATGGATGTTTAATGATTTTAATGTGATAAAGCAACCTAGCCAGCTTACAGAATGTTCGTGGTACAACTCAGAAGTCTGAAATAATGTACTTGAGGTCTTTACTAAAAAATCATCATATAACTTAAACAGTGCATTGGCATAGTGGTTAAGGTATCTGCCTCTCAACACAGAGGTCATGGGTTCGAGCCCTAATCGGGTCACGGACCATGTTTCTTTGTATGACACCAGTAACAGTTGGTTCCAGGAAGTGGACTCGAAAGTGATTAATATAAGTTGCAAGTACTTGTTTTGCAACCAAGCTTAAATAAATATGTTAAATAAATCAGCTATTCATGTCTCCTATATTTTAATTTCAGCGTGGTGTAAGCATCAAGTCTACGCCAGTAACGTTAGTACTGCCAGACACACGGAACAAATCTTATCTTGTCAATGTGTTTGACACACCAGGTAAATAAGCCCAAGAGCTGAGGTTCTTTTTATACAAATTTTTGTCCTGATCTTAGACTAACTCCAGAGCAAATGTTCATTCTCTCTTTTACAATAATTCAAATCTTTGATGTTCAGAAAACAATACTCAATTTATACAATTTACAGAATTAAAAAGGAATGAACCTCTGTTCATATTATTAAATGTAACATAAATTATTTTCAGATTTTTCCTTTTACTAATTTCTTCACCTGGATGTAAATTTTTTCGTGTAGACATAGTCATATTTTGAAGCGGAGCATGTGCATAACAATTTTTGTAGACATGTTCAAATGGAATTAAGCTTAAAATAAGATTCATTAACTTTAACTTGGTACGCAGAAATGGGTGCAGCCAGGAATTATTCTCAACACTGTTAACAACAAAGTCAATTCTTGTAATCCAAAGTCCCTCCTGGGATTTTTACATAGCAGTGAAAGGCAACTGCTTTTCATCACTGGGCCACATAGGCCCCTTAAAAACTTTAACAAGAGAAATAAATTCCAGTAACATGCTATAATATTGACCCCAGTATTATGCAAATGAGCTAGCACTGATATACACTTTAATCTATTTTCAGGTCACGTTAATTTCTCTGACGAGGTAACAGCAGCGTTACGGATAAGTGACGGGGCTGTCATATTTGTGGATGCTGCTGATGGGGTAATTATCTTTCATTGTACATGTAGTTATATCTGTAGGCAAGCATTCTAGATAGTTTCTTTAAAAATTTACAAATTTATGAAATGGATTTGCCTTAATTTGCTAAATTTCGATAATATATCAATAGTAATGAACTTGGCCAGGTTTAAATTTGGAAGAGTCCATTCAAAGTTTAAGGGATTTCAATATCAGAATACACAAATTGAGCTACAAACTTCATAAGAGCCTGGTCACACTGCATGCATATGCTCTTACATAAGACCTGTGACATTATAAAAATAACACATCTCTCAGGGTAAAATGGCATATTAGCAACTAGAGAAGAGCTGAAATAACACCCAAGGCAGAGCTAAGGGGTGCTGATATGCATTTTTTTCCTGAGAGATATGTTATTTCCCTGAGAGATGTGTTATTTTTTTTTTCTTATACCAAACCAACATTAAATTTAATGTAATTTTTCACCACAATGCAATTATTACTCTGAGAGCCATTCATTATTGATTTTATCACGCAGAGTAGAACGGCCAAGGGAGAGAACTAGAACATTATGTTTTCTTAAGTCTTTATAGATTACTCGCCCCTGGGGAATATGGCAAAAAAATTATTGACCGAGTGCTATTCATTTCCAGGATAATAGATCAAAATTACACCATGTGACGTCAAATTATGCTATACATGTATAGTTTGTTTGTTTGTTTGATTTGGATTTTACGTCACACCGACACTGTAAAGGTCATTTGGCAACGTTCCAGCTTTACTGGTGGAGGAAGATCTTAGGTGCCCTTGCATGCATTTTTTCAGGCACAACGGGCACCTGAGTAGAACCACCAACGTTCCCTAAGCTAGCTGGATAGCTTCCTCACATGAAAGAATCCATAGTCCCTGTCGGGATTCTAACCCACAGCATTGAGGGGCTACATGTATAGTAAAAAGTTTATGTGACTTACAATGATACGAAATGTGACCTATGTTTGTACAGGTGATGTTGAACACAGAGAGGTTTATCAAACATGCTATACAAGAGAAGTTACCTGTGTGTGTGTGTATAAACAAGATTGACAGACTGATCCTAGAACTTAAACTACCCCCCACAGATGCCTACTTCAAACTGAGAAATATTATGGATGATATAAATGGAATTATCAGGTAAAGTGTTAATGATGATATTTCATATTCTTTTAAAGGGACCTCCACTGAGGTCAAAAAGACTTCATATTCTTTTAAAGGGACCTTTGTTTTCAATGTCTTTTAAAGGGACCTTAGTTTTCAATGTCTTTTAAAGGGACTCCGCTGATGTCCAACTTCATAATCTTTTAAAGAAACTCCTCGAAGGTACAAAAGACTTCATATTCTTTTAAAGGAACTCCGTTGAGGTCCAAAACCCTAAAAACATAAAATTTGAATTTATTACATAGATGAGCTGGGGCACTTAAAACAAAAAGATATGCAAAAAATAATTTGGAAATAAACTCAAAATAAATTTAAATCATATTTTTGTGCATTTCTAAGCACGATTTATTTATGCTTTTCAATTTTGGGTAATTGTTCACAATTAGGATAATAATTATTCTGGAGAACAGAGTGAGTTAATTATCTGAAATTTTGCACACAAGTTTTTGGTCTAGATCTACATCAAATGGTACATTGATCTCAAAAAGTTTTTTCCAGTTCTGTCATGTCTTAAAAAAATCTCTGTGGAGTCCCTTCAACTTGATTATTCCTACTATTGCAGAGTATGCACTTGAATTTGAATATGCAGGACATTGTGATTTTAATCAGGGTTTGTACAAATGAGGGACCAGTAGAATTGCTTGTGCTTTATACAAATCTCTTCAAAGCACCAACGCATATTTCTCCAACACCAAAGATGGAAAATTAATACTTGTCCTAAGGCTTAGTGACAGTGTGATTTAACACTCCAGCCAATGGAATGCTTTTATACAACCAAATAAAACTGTTGATTTAGAAATTGTTTGAACAAAAAAGCACTGTCCATAATTTATTTAAATTCTACCGATCGTTTTTTTTCCAGTTTATATACAGAAGAGGAAGGTGGCCAGCAGGTGTCGCCACTGATCGGTAACGTCTGCTTCGCCAGCTCGTACTACAGGCTGTGTTTCACACTCGGTTCTTTTGCCAAGATTTACTCCGACACTTATGGCGGAATTAATGAAAAAGAATTTGCGAGACGTCTGTGGGGTGATATTTATTTCAACAGTAAAACGTAAGTATGTAATTCGTAAATTTAATTCTTTGGAAAATGTAAAAAAATTTATATCATAAGTAATTGTTTGAAAAAATCGTTTTTATCCTTGTCAATGTAACATTTTTCGATCAAAAACAGTTTAAGACATTGTTTTGATAGGTGATAAGAAGAAAGTCTACAGAATTGGCCTACCTAAGATTCTAAGTGAAATTTCATGGAATTTGTTTTCCATGTTATTTTAGCAAATATCAGACCCACAAAAAACATTTAAGTTTCTGGATGTTAAGAATTGTTTTACTTGTATGAATCAAATTCAATTTTGCCAGTTTATGTCACTCTTTTCACTTAAAGTGGCGGCATGGCTGAGTGGTTAACACGTTAGACTAGTAATGTAAAGTTCAAACACCATCAGGGGCAAGTCGTTATTTTCTTGAGCAAGAAAGTTTACACTCATTGCTGAGTATTGTTGGGCTCCAGGAACAGATTCAAAAATGTGTCAATAAGAATATAGCTTTCTACACAATCATACTGAAATAAATTCTATACAAACCAAATGATTTATTAAACGCCATGTGAATGTTTTCAGACGAAAGTTTACAAAGAAGCCCCCCAACAGTTCTGCCCAGAGAAGTTTTGTGGAGTTTATACTGGAACCTCTATACAAGCTGTTTGCACAGGTATGTTTATAATTCTAACACTACCTGACATTTCTCTTAGGTTCGAAGCGTGATATATTTCTCAACAAAGCACTTGCCGTTCTTATTTCCTCCCTCTGTATTTTCAAACTGACACATTGACGGCACCATTTTGAAAAATCTGATAAATAAAAAAAAACTTTTCTGAAAACTAACTAGAATGATAGAAAATGGTCTAACTATGAAAAAAAATACAAACACCAATATCTTTAATTCAGTCATTAACCCTGTACAGTCGTTTAAAGTGTTGTTTACGTGACGTCACAATATAGCGCCAAACAGCACATGCAAAAACAAGATGACTATATCAAATGCCGCTGTATTAGGGCTCTTTAAGTCTTAATTTACTCTGTATTGTTACCATAATTTGTGATAAATTACATTTATAACACCATATTTCCTACAATTGTATTGTTGTGTTACAGATTGTCGGAGATGTGGACGAGAGTTTGCCCCGGGTTTGTGACGAGCTAGGTATATCACTGACCAGCGAGGAGAAGAAACTTAACATCCGACCTCTCATGAGAATTGTCTGCCGTAGATTCTTTGGCGACTTTACAGGTTAAATTCAGTTTTAAATTCATAGCATTGTAGGGGTTGCAACATTTATTACCCTTAAATAACCCTTAAAGGAACTCCACTGAGGTCCGAAAAAAAAAAAAGTTTCACAAAAATCAAGTGAAGCTCAACTGCAAAAGATAACAAAGAAATATAATAAAAGTTATATTGAAAACTTGATTTGTATGCAATTGTTGGATTCTTTCACTTATGCAAGATGGCCTATACTGTTTTGGTGCAAAGTAAAACCAACAATTACAGTTTTGTTGCCTTGATATGATATGTTTTTTTAGTTGTTATGTAACATGACTTTAATATATGCTAATATTCTGTATTTAGGTTTTGTGGATATGTGTGTGGATCACATAAAGTCACCGCTAGACAATGCAAGACGTAAGATTGAGCATATATACACTGGGCCGATGGAATCTGATCTCGCTGATATGATGGTCCAATGTGACGCTGACGTATGTTGTTTGTTTGTAGTGATTACTTGCACTTTCATAATTTGTTATCAATATTGGGTTTTCTTCATGTTTTACAAAAATCATTCTTAGTGAACAGCTTATACAGACAATTGCTGTGTTTTGTCTGACTGTCGGCTTCACACCAGTAATTTTTTACCACCCCACTTATTTGTAATATTGCTTTGAAACTTTAGACACTATTCAGATATAAAGTACAGAGAACTATTGAGCATATTGTTGTACATACACCTCTTGTAACATTTCTTTTGCGTTTTATTTTTGTAATACTCATTACTACAAAAAAAAAAAAAAAACCCTAAAATTTTGTCTCCTTATCATCTATGTCCATTGGATTATTTGCTTTACTATACCACCTCAGGGACCACTTATGGTGCACACAACCAAGTTATACCCCACCCAGGATGCCACATGCTTTCATGTTTTCGGACGTGTGGTGAGCGGAACACTGTACGCAAACCAGGAAGTGAGGATTCTGGGAGAAAATTACACATTACAAGATGAAGAGGATTCCAGGTTCGGTCAGATAGGACGACTGTGGATCTCAGAAGCTAGGTTTGTACTTCTTTATGTATAGTTCACTAAGTTCATTCCGCCAGGGACTTAAGATTCTGTCATGTAAGGAAACTACCCAGCTAGTTTGTATGTCAGTGGTTCTACTCAGATGCCTGTTCACGCCTGTAGATAGGACAACATTGGATCTCAGAAGCTAGGTTTATATTGCTTTAGTTTATGTATACTTTACTTGGTTTTAAACTAGGTTTCATTGCCTTTGGGACAATGATTTTTACGTTTGAGGTGGCTTATCAAGCTTTTTCCTATTTCTGTAACATCATATGATTTACTTAATGTAAAATGTTATCGACAAGTTGATAAACTCCGTATTTAATTGTGTAATAATGTAAGGATAATACCATTTAAAACACAATATGTCTTACTTTGGGGGGATGGGTGTATGACCAGTTTTTCTAAAACACAGTGTAAACAGTAGATTATCCTGTATGATATGCAAGAATAAAATGATAAAACCATGTTTTGTGTATTGACAGATATAAACAATGTTTTGTATATTGACAGATATAAGATCGAGGTAAACCGGGTACCAGCTGGGAACTGGATCCTGATAGAGGGAATAGATCAACCTATTGTAAAAACTGCTACAATTACAGACACATCAGCTCCTGAGGAGGTAATAATGTTGTATATTATCACACCATCCCTTAACTTGTGGAACTTGATAACTTTATTGTGTTCCAGAAAAAGAATATGAAATTTGTTTTATCAAATAAACCAAATGGAGGAGTGTAATAAAGCCATTTAATAAAGAAGATATTGCACTTTGTATATAACTCAAATGTTGTCACATCAAAGTATTATAACCCTATATCCAAACATAGTGTTAAAGCGCACTCATGTTAGCGTTAAACTTTAGACATGTTGATGTAAAATGCTTCTTTTTAACTGTAAAATGTTCTTGTTTTTAATATGTTTGATAAATAAAATATTATATTGGTGAAGATTCAGTACTAAATTTATTGAACTTGTTGAATGAAGTAATATTATGCTCACCAGAGGCTTGCTTAAAATTATTTTATTCAACAAGTTCAATAAATTCAGTAATGAACCTGCACAAATAGAATATTATATTTATAACATACCCAATATATAATGTGAATCACTTTTCATCAATGCACTTATATTGTAACGCTTATATTTAGCGCGTCTTTACACTTTGTTTATATAATGCAAATGACGTCCCATCATGGCCATGCAATACCATTTTTACGGAGTCGCAATAGGTGCACTGGTGTGATATAGCTGTTAATTTGATAACTTAACAGAAGAAAGAAAATTTAGATTTAGAGCATAATTCTTGAAAAATTCAGCATTTTCAGGTTTTTTTTACAAATGGAAAGAGGGCATCAATTTTAATCTACTTGGTGACACTGTATTCAGTATTACCAATACACATTCGGAGTATTTTTTCTACGACATTTCTTGAGTTGTAATATGTATATTTTTTTGTGACATGTACATTCATTCAATTTCAGGTACATATATTTAGACCACTTAAATTTAACACAAGTTCTGTGATTAAGATAGCCGTGGAGCCGGTGAACCCGTCAGAGTTACCTAAAATGTTAGACGGATTGAGAAAAGTCAACAAGAGTTATCCTCTTGTTACGACAAAGGTAAAATGTTTAACATGTTTATGTTATTATATACTTAATATGATAATTACCACTAGAAGATAGTAAATTCTTTTATAGAGTCCATTTCTCATAGCTTGAGGAAAAAGGTTTATTTGTGTGATGGAAAGTGTGTATGATAAATTCAAGAGCAAGTGATTAACTCTCCAGGATGCAAACTTATCATGGTACAATTAAGATTTCAGTGTCACATTACAAAACATTAAATACATTAAATATACTTTAGCTATGTATGACTGAAATACTGTCTCAAATTATTCTTGCATATCAGACTGTTGTTTCTGTTAGTTTTACCCATGTTTGAGTTGTGTGCTATACAGTTTGCATCATTTTAGCCCATTTTGTGAGTGAACTGCATTAAAATGATGTCATTTCAACGTATTAAAGATTGAATCTACGTGCCTAGAATGACGTCATTTCGACATTATGAATGAATTTTTAAATTCATACGCTATTGCAAAAAAATAGCTACGGATGAAATGACATTTATTTCCATGGAAAATTGTTTTATTAAGATAAAGAAATTAAAATATGATAGAATATGGTAGAATATGCAAGAAAAAATATATGACATAATGTGTTTGTGGTTCCAATCAGAATATCCGCATGGGTGAAAGTTTTCAGGCATATGCCTGAAGTTCAGGTTTTTCTGACATATTTCATCATCTTTTACTATTAGATTCTGTAGGAAACTGATTATGAATTACAGTTTTTCCAAATTTTCAACTTGCACCATGTATAATCCGTCCCACAAGTACTTCCCCCATGGGGGGTAGCTCGGCAAGGCCTGTTACAGCCTAATGGGCAGGTCCCCTCGGGATGGATATTCTGATCCGAACCACAACATATGACAGATATTATTATTCTTGTACCACATTTAATGTGGTATTAAAGTTGTAGTAATGATGTGTTATGTATATTTTAGGTTGAAGAATCAGGTGAACACATTATTCTCGGTACAGGAGAACTCTACCTGGACTGCGTGATGCATGATCTCAGAAAAATGTACTCTGAAATAGGTAAAATTGTATTACATATAAACCAGGGCTACCTTAAGGTATTAGCACCCTAATGCATTACCTCCGCTTTGAAGAGTATTCAAATTGGCTAGAATTACTGTTAACTACATTGAAAATGAGGGCCATGGGTTCAATCCCCAGAAGGGTCAACTTTTTTTTTCTTTCTTTTTTTCTTTTAACATTATTTATGTATCTCTCAAGTCCCATATGGGAAGAAAAAAGTGTTGAATTTTGAATTTTTAATTTATATAGGTATTTATTGGCTAAATTATGCTAAATCTAGTAATAAATATGGTACCTGATATTTTCAAAGTGTAATATAATCAAAACTAGACGGTAAAAGTATTTCATATTTTGCAAGATCAACCAATACACTTTTTTAAAAATTTAGGGAAACTTTGAAAACAGGCACTCATTTGGGTAAATTTTAAGAATTTTTTGAATTAGGCTCCCTAAGTAGAAAAATGGTCAGACATGTGGTAAAAATGGGTGGTGTAGGGTAACATTTTTATGCATATTCATAAATTTTAAGTAGAAACAATAATTTTGTTTTTGAGGATTGTTAGATGAATTTTACATTTTGTTTCTTACCAAAAAATTCATGGGAAAACATTTTTCATTAGAATGTTATTGCAGATTATTTAAAGGTTCCTCATTTCTAAAAAGGGCCCTCATAACATCCTAGCTTGAGTTCAGAAAAGTGGTCATAACTTGATTTCCGTACGGTAAACTTTGTTTAAATTTTGCATACAGGTGTACTTTAAGGTATACATCTGACCTATGATGTCAATTCTTTAGTTCCTGATAGTGCCCATTAGGGTCCTAATACCTTAAGTACTTACCGGAAGGTAAAAAAATTAATATGCATTTTGATTTATTGTAACAACTGACAAAGTGTCTTTTAGAAAGTGACCTTTATCTCCCTGAAACAGATCTGTAACTATCCATATGAGTGCAGTGTACATTATCTTGTAATTCTAAAAGTCAACAGTTTTTAAATTAATAAATATTTCATTAGATATAGCTTTATACACTTTAAAATTCTTATTCTGGTGTAAGATTTACACATAACGTTACAGATATATACATGTTATAACATTTTCAGATATTAAAGTAGCCGATCCAGTTGTGTCGTTCTGCGAGACCGTGGTCGAAACATCATCATTGAAATGTTTTGCTGAAACACCAAATAAAAAGTAAGTGACTTTGTTTTTCAACTTAAAATGTGTTTGATTAAATAATTTTTCCTGGAACAAGTTTATTCACACAAGCTTTTAGTAAAACAGAGATAAGAGGGGTATTATGATTTTCTTCATTTAAGGAGAAGGTATGGTATAAGAAACTAAATGGTAGGAACTATTCAGCCATATTTGGTATAATGAAGGGTCTTAGTGATGCAAAGATAAGCATCTGAAGTTCTTCACCACATATTTAAGCTGAGAAGTTGCCAAATAATCTCAATTTACAGAATACAAACAAACATATTGATATGCCTATTTTGACATTACAAAGCAGGACAACCTCTTCTCCTTCATGGATACACATACTATATTCCTATTCCATTGCATGCTTGATATTGAAACCTTGTAAACCAAATATAAACCAATTATCAACAATATTGAATTCAAGAAAGGAGAACCCTGTTATAAGAAAATAGGTTTGAAAGTGTTACTATTGATATCTATTAATAGTCCCTTTCAGATATGATTTCATAATATAATGTAATTCTTAATAGGAACAAGTTAACGATGATTGCGGAACCACTGGAGAAAGGTCTAGCGGAAGACATTGAGAACGAGGTCGTACAGATTACATGGCCAAGGAAACGTCTCGGAGAATTCTTCCAGACGAAATACGACTGGGATTTGCTGGCAGCCAGATCTATATGGGCGTTCGGACCGGATGCCACCGGACCTAACATTCTCGTAGATGATACCCTACCTTCTGAGGTAAAGATTTTTGAAAATGACTGTGTCTTTTGAGTGAGGCTAAAAAAAAGTTGAAGCACCACACTAAATACCGTATTTTAGTATATGCTGGACAAGGCGCTTGAATGATTTTATGCTCATTCTTGCGTTTTCACCAGTGGAAATGCCCTTTAACATGTGTTGTACATCTATTGACTCAGGGTATATGCAATCATGAAAGAGAATGATTGTGAATGATTTGAAAAATATGTCATGTTTCTGCCAAACAGCTGACTGGGCAAAGAAAAAATAATAGTGAGTATTTTCAACACACAGTTTTTCCAAGGACATTTAGTGAACATTTTAACTTACATGATCTAAAAGCCAAAGTCCCAACTATTCACCAGAGGGTTGGAGTCAGAGGTGTATTACAATTTGTGTATGTAGATTTTACTGAGTAGCAGTAATAGTAAAATTAAATTATGATATTTTGCAACAAATATAGATTTTAAAGATATGATTGTGTTAAATGTTATGCGTTGTTATAAACTTCAGGTTGACAAAAGTTTGCTAGGTGCAGTAAAGGACAGTATAGTTCAGGGGTTCCAATGGGCAACAAGAGAAGGTCCCCTCTGTGACGAACGTAAGTTTCTTATTATGATAAAACATATTTTGAGTAAAAGAGATATTGGATTCTTTGGATTCTTTCATGTGAGAAAGCTTGCCCAACCGTGTTGCCTCATTAAATAAAGTTGTTACTTACTTACTATCAAGCCAGCTTACAGAACATAGATGTTTCTACTCAGGTGCCATTTGTGCCTGGAATAATGAGGTGTTCGACCACCAGTAAAGCTGGAAAGTCGCCATATGACCTATTCTGTGTACATGTAGGTGCAAGGTAAAATCCAACTAAAAAAAATCACAAAAAAACCAACCCTATCCCTATCAAACAGTCTTACCCTTAAAATCTCAGCTTATCATAAATATGTCAGTGGCTATTTAGATATAAACACTTATGATAAGGTAGAAATGTTTTAAGTTTTCAATTGGTGCAAAAAGAATTCTAAATTCAAGCCAACAAACATTGTTAAGAGTTTTTGCCTGTTTTTGTATTTCAGCAATACGTAATGTAAAGTTTAAGATTCTGGATGCAGTGATCGCTCAGGAGCCAATACATCGAGGCGGAGGACAAATTATACCTACAGCTAGGAGAGTAGCGTACTCAGCTTTCCTCATGGTAAATATTTGTTTTCCTCAATCATATCTTTCATTTGAGTCTATTTATCTATTAGCTCCAGCAGGTGAGGTGGATTTGACCTTTGTTGTTACTTTAAGTTTTGAATTTCCATGGTGAGCTAAAATCATCTTTCCTGTTTCAGCGCCATATAAACTAAATTGTGTTGGTGCACCATAAGACCAAACCAAATAAACAAATCTTTCATTAATGTTATATTAATCATTATTAGATATTAAATTTAGTTCAGGAAAGAAGTTTTTGCAGAATTTAAGACTTGTTTGTGTGAGAAATTTTTGAAGTATATTGAATATTTTCATAAAAGAAGTAGACAAAGTGTCCTTAAGGTGGTTTTAACAGTAGTCTTTGTGTATGAGTATAGTTTAAACATTATTTTAGCTTGATTGTGATTAAAGCTTTACATTTATTAACCCTACCAGGCTAAACATTTGCATCTGAAATGTAATGTTCAAGATATTCAACTTTTTAAGCAAAAAATTTAAAAGTAAGTACTAACTGAGTACAGAGCTTTCGGGGCCAAGTAGTTAAGGTCATTGACTTTGAACCACTTGCCTCTAACTGCTGTAGCAAGTGTCATTGGATTCTACATGTGAGAAAGTTATCCAGCTTGAGTATAGAACGTCTGTGATAAAGATTAAACATAACATGATTTTAGTTAGGACTGAGCTGTTCAATAGGAAAATGCTGATGTATAGGCATTAATATTAGGGTATGAGTGAATAGGATTTCTCTTTCATTTCAGGCGACACCTAGGATGATGGAGCCCTATTATTTTGTAGAAGTTTTGGCCCCTGCTGACTGCGTGTCTGCTGTGTATACTGTCCTAGCAAGGAGAAGGTAGGCAACATGTATTATTATTTCTTTTACTTTTCTTCTGTTTCCTGCAGTTTTATGGAAAACTTCAGTAGATTAAGGAACATCCATGGCAATATTATAGATATCATACACTGTATTCTACTGAAGAATAATTGTTAGAGTTAATACCATTGGTATTACTGTAGACACTTTACAAATTAAACATGCAGTGTTCCAGGATTGTTTACCAGAGAGGGTTGGAAGGGGGTCACATAATTTAGACAAGGGGTAATGCATATTCTAAAGGGGGTTTGGCATTTAAGTAGTTTTCCAGACATGTTTACACGTAAAATTTTGGTTGATTTTTCACTAGTTCTGTGTGATAAAAGTAAGTTAATACCCAAATCATAGAGAGATATCATTTGTGATCTCATTTTCATAAAATACGTATACCTGTATATGTTTTTGCTATAAGCATTGTAATAATGTTTTATTTGCAAATAAAGTTATTTGTATTGTATTTCAGAGGTCACGTGACCCAAGATTCCCCAGTGCCTGGTTCCCCACTATACACAATCAAAGCTTTCCTGCCGGCTATAGACTCGTTTGGGTTTGAGACAGATCTGAGAACGCACACACAGGGTCAGGCTTTCTGTCTGTCCGTGTTTCATCATTGGCAGATAGTACCTGGTGATCCCCTGGATAAGAGCATTCATATCCGGCCCCTGGAGGCCCAGCCTGCTACCCATCTAGCCAGAGAGTTCATGGTGAAAACTAGGAGGAGAAAAGTAAGTTTTTGTTTAGCTTGTAGTATGTGCCATCTTACCAGGCTTAATACTGCTGGCTGACAAATTTCAAATTTTCATCTTGATAACCATTCCCTAAAATATGTAATTACAGAAAGTCAAAGGCTGCGCACCCGGGCTTTGGTTTGCCCGGCTACAGACTACACATGTATATTCAAAAGTCAAATCAAATCAAAAACAATTAAAGAATATAAAGAATTCTATAACTATCAATGAAATTTTCAGTGTCAGTTTTAGTTGGGCGCTGCCATTTTCTATGTAACTCAGTGGTAATAGTATTCCGATAACAGGACAAGTGGAACTTTTCGGATCAATAATAATCGTTGATTGTTCTGAGTGAAAACTGAAGCGGTGCATAAAATACTGGATCACACCTTTAAAACGGAATAATGAATGATTTTTTTAACTGATTTCCCCGTTTATTGGCTTTTTCTTATTTCATATTAGAAAGTACCAAAATTGGAAGCTGGAGCTGATTTTGACCACTGGTACATGTGGTATTGCTTTAAGTTTTTAACACCCAAAATCACCTTTTTAGCTCGACTTTTCTATGAAAAGGGGAGCTATCCTACTCGCCCCGGCGTCGGCGTCGGCGTTGGCGTCACACCTTGGTTAAGTTTTTCGTACCACCCCACTTTATTTCAGAAGTATTACAAGTATGGCTTTGAAACTTACCATACTTGTTCACCATCATAACCTCCATCTACAGACAAGAGTACATAACTCTGTCAAGGTTTTTGACAGAATTATGGCCCTTTTTTGACTTAGAAAGTGTATTGAGCTTGGTTAAGTTTTTTGTACCACCTCACTTTATTTCAAAACCATTGGAGGTATTGCTTTGAAACTGACCATACTTGTTTACCATCACGACCTTCATTAACAGACAAGAGGACATAACTCTGTCAAGGTTTTTGACAGAATTATGCCCCTTTTTGACTTAGAAAATACATTGAATATGGGTAAAATCCACTTATTGCCTTAACCCTTTGAGATATTGCTTTGAAACTTTTAATGCTATTTCACATCACACAATTCAGTAAAATAATTCTTCACTAAATATCTTAATGCTCATGGCCATTGTTCACTTTAAAAATACAGAGATTCTTGTATTGCCTTTTACTGCAAAAACTTTTTTTATTGGCAAGCAATAAAAAAGTCGAGCGCGCTGTCTTACGGACAGCTCTTGTTTGTTTTGGTATCATATGACCTAAATTGCGTTGGTGAGCTGTAAAACCGAACCAAACAAAAATGGAAAAGGCCCATCCACAATTCCAAAATTCCAGCTTAACATGTGAAAGGAATAATCTTTTTCACAGTAAAGAAATTGGAAATGCTATTAAGTTCATATTGTAGATTTTTAGTGTACTTTATAAACTGTTGTATTGATGTATGACTTGTATATTTGCAGGGTTTGAGTGAAGACGTGAGCATTAACAAGTTTTTCGACGACCCTATGTTGTTGGAGTTGGCGAAACAAGATGTACTGCTCAGTTACCCCATGTAGATGTGAGATTAAAATTCTTGGGAGAACAATTTGGAACAATTTATATACTTATCCATGGACATATTTACAGCAACTAACTATGTACTCTTTCACACCGGTTTAGTGAAAGACAGCAAAATGAAATGCAAAACTAGATGTACTGCTCAGAATCCTATATAGATGTGAAATGAAAATTCTCGGGAATTGTCTTGGTGTGGGCGCGTTCAAATCCATGGACATTGACTGCATATAAAAATGTACACTTTCACACAGGTTTTAGTGGAAGACAGGAAAATAAATGATAGTTAATATACACCAGCATAACACGGTATAGAAATAGGTCGGTTAAAATAAAGCAAATGCTGCCATAGGGTGTGAAGGAAAAAAATCAAATACATATGGCATAATGATGAAATTTTATGGTTTGGAATGCTAAGCTACATTTATCAATTTATTTTAAGTGGTGTTTGTTCTAAAAACTAAGTGTATATAATCTTTATATGTTATCTAATGAATTAATTTCCTTATTGACAGTGAAGAAAATGCCTGTATTTAGTGAAGAAAATATCTGTTTCTAGTGTGATTAGTGAAGAATACACCTGTATTCAGTGAAGGAAAAATCTGTGTTTAGTGTGGTCAGTAAAGATAACATCTGTATTCAGTGAAGTAAACACCTGTATTTAGGGGGGGCATCTGTATTTAGTGAAAAAAACACCTGTATTTATTTTTTTTTTGGGGGGGGGGGGCCTCTGTATTTAGTGAAGGAAACACCTGTATTTAGGGGGGGGGGCATCTGGATTAAGCGAAAGAAACACCTGTATTCAGTGAAGAAAACACAAGTAGCTGTGCATGACCAAAATGAAATAAGGCTATATACAACAGCATAACATTATTGTAAAGGCAGGTAGAATAAATGGGTGTCCACCTTCAAAATCAAAATATTTAGGGGAAAAAAGTTCTTTTTAAATTATTCAAAGCTTTTTGGGATGTCTGAATGAATTGAGAATTCCATAATTATACATGTAGTAAAATATGTTGGTTGTACATGGGTGATTAAGAGAAATCTTATAGATTTCAATGAGATGAGTTTAGTAACAGATTGTTTTAAGAATCTTGTTTGTTGATTGATTCATTAAATAAAATTGCATTACATTTCATAACATTACATTACATTCTTTTGTTGTATGTTTTATTATTCATTACATGTTTCTGTATTATGAATGTCTCTATCATGTGAAATTGAAATTTATAGGTCACATGACAATAAAATACATGTTTATAAGAAACAAAATGTGTTTGTAATTATTGTATTTGAGAAATGAAACAAAATTTGATGCTCTCTGCAGGACATTTTCACCTTATTTTCAGTGGACGAAATAAGGCAACATTCCCAATACAGAAATCGTATTTTTTCCTAATTTCAAAGAAAGTAAAAAAAAATCACAACAATCAAAAAAATTCAAGCTGTTGAATTTTTTAGATAATTTGAACTGTTTCTTTAAAGATGTGACAGGTTATATGACCATACACATGTTAAATAAACTAAAAAGTCATATTATGGTAGATTTTTAACTACATGTATTTCAAATTTACCAAAATGTCGAATGATTTTCCAAATTTATGTCCGGGCTTTTTTATGCTTTTCCCAAAATAGTTGGGAATGACCTTTTCTCTTAAGGTCATTTTATAGTTATATATTTTAAGAAGAGGAGCTTGATATTGCTTGAAATAACTAAACTTCATGTACTATAAGCCTTATGTTCATAGCCAGGTTGTATATCTCGCCCTCTTGATGTAGGAAAGTTCTACATTATGTATTAAAGCAGCATGCCTCCATATTCCTGCTTATTTTCACGAAAATGTATACAAGTAAAATATTGTGAAGTGAACATAGAAATTAATTTACACATTGCAAAATGACACTAACAACCTTTGTTACACATTGCAAATGGCACAACCAATGTAAAATTATCAAAAAAGAGGTGAAAAATAAGCACAAAAAGCTTTACTGCAATAGTAACGCAGTAGGAATTTCCTGAAAAAAATACTTCAAAATTGGAAATTTATCGCACAAAACATAGAAATTATTACACTTATCTTAATCTTTTTACTTTTATAACAAAAAACGCGGTATCACAAGTTTGATTTTTTTCTACATATTTTGGCTCATCTGGAGGCTTGCAGCTTTAAAGCTACCTAAATAAACTTACAACCAAAAAAAAAATGTTTATATATAAATAAAAGAAATAATAATTGAATTCAATTTAAGTCCTGATTAACTACATGACACGACTACGTTAAAGCTGTCAAAAAATTGAGATGAAAACAGAAAAAGCAAATAAAAAACGACGATTCCATGCTACAACTTTGTGCTGTAAATTAAGAATCTCCAAGAACAATTTACAACGAAATCTGACAAATGGTGTTTTAACAGTTGGCACTAGAAGTTGGTGTATTTAAAAAAAAATACTTTTTATATACAGAAAGAGCAATTCACCCATCCGACAATGTCATGCGGTCTTACTGTTGAGCATATTCCTTGGGCCTGATAAAGTTGTAAAGGAGAATGCAATATCTAATCCGTAACGGGATTCCACAAATGGTGTTTGAACGGTTGGCACCAGAAAAATGGTGTTTTTAGGGACATTTTTTCACTTGAAATACAGGAAGAACGAGTCAACGATAGAAATAACGACAGTTTTTCTTGCGTTCGAGCCTAGTGCTCTATATTGTTGAAAAGATGAAGCCCCAAACTAATACAATCGCTAATCTGCAACCAAATCACACAAATGGTGTTTCAACAGTTTGCTCCAAATAATGATGTTTTTTCCACGAAAGTCCATAACACTTTATATAATTAAAGAGCAAATCGCTAATGCAAACAGCGGTTTCATTGCTGTCATTTCTCCTTGCGTTAGACATCTGGGCTTAATATTGCAATGAAGAACAACTCAAAAGTAATACAAACTACTGCGTAACAACGTTTTTAAGTTCGTAGTTTTCATTTTATCATGAATCACTCCTGTTCAAGGCGTAAATTCTTGTATTTAAATACAACATCTAAATCACATTTTCATGAAGTTGTGAGGCCACTGTTTCGTTTCCATTTGAAAAAGAAATAGACCATAGTTTGAGAAGGGTCGAATCTCTACGAAAATGCTTGCGACATTTTCAGTAGATCTTAGAGAATACAGAAAGAAAAAAAAACGCCGATCCTTAAAACGACCATGCAGGCCTTAAATTGCTGTAAAGGAGAACATCAAAATTATTGCAAAGGCCAATCCGAAACGAAATCGGACGAAAGGTGTTTGTACGATTGGCACCAGAAAATGTTTTTTGTTTTTTTTTAAAGAAAGAAATTTCATACTTCAAAGATACAGAAAGAGCAAATAACCTATCTAAGAAACGATCATGCCTTGCGTGCCTCAGGAGGCTATTGTCCATGGGTTAGAGCTGTGTGTCTTATATTGCTATAAGAGAGAACCTCCTAACTTATATAAGGACCAATGCAAAACAAAATCAGACACATTGTGATTTAACGGTTTGCACCAGAAAATAGTGGGTTTTTTTTTAAATGAATAAATAAAATTCATACTTTTTATATACAGAAAGAGCAAATCACCAATCAAAAAGAAAAAAAAATGTCATGCGGTCTTCTCGAGGCCAAATGTTTTCGGCTAAAGCTCAGTGCCTCCTGTTGCTACAGGAATTACTTATCCGCAAGAAAATCAGACAAATAAGGTATAACGGCTGACAACTGAAAATGTTGTTATATGAAATATTTTACACTTTATAAAGAGAAAAAATCAAACGCCTGTCCAAAGAACGATCATGCTAAGCGGAAATTTGGAGGCCAAATTCCTTGTAAAGAAGAACCCCCTAACTAATTGAATTTCTGAGCTGCAACGAAATCAGGTAAATGGAATTTTAATGGTTGACAACAGAAATTGGTGTTCTTGTGAAAAACACAATTATATATATTTTTTTCATTTAGTAAAGCAGATGTCGTAGCTCAAAATGGATCTAATGCACCAGAAAGATTCATTAAAATTCAATCTCAGAATCAGATTCTTTTGTGTCTGCTTTTTTTAAGAATGTTTACATGCGGTTTTATCGGTATTAAATGTATTCTACTAAGTATATATATTATTATTTTGCCACAATCAAATTACAGTTTTACAAATTTAATTGATGCTATCATCACTTTAGTTCACGTATGTAAAACATCAACCAAGTGTGTCTTTCCCAGTCAAAGCAAAAATGTTTCCGTTTTAGGCAGAAATGCTCTAAAAGTGGCAAACATTGTGACAAAAAAACACGGTCACTCTTTTATTATATATTTTTATTCATGTCATACCTTTGCTTTAAAATATCATTTGTAATATTTTTCTCATGACAGAGAAGATGTTAATGCGAAGGGTGCAGCTTTTTATTGACAAGCAGCTACAGGACAAAACAAGATTAACTACGACCAAATGGCACTTTAACTACAAAATAACATTGGGAAAAGATTCCCACTTATGTAAGTAATATCTATCTGATCTTAATTAACAGACATAGGACTATTCTTTATATTTTCATGTAATATGAAATAGCATGGAATTGATGGAGTTCATTTTATTTGAAATCACGTTTACTGTGTGTCATTAAAAAGTGTTGTTTTTTCGACGCACATATCGCAATGATAATTGTTCCATCTTGAGAAAATATAACAAATGAAAGTTTAAAGGCATATGCTACAGTTACTTAACATAAAGGCATATTGAAAACTGTATAACAGACTTTGTTTAAACTTTGAATGCGTTTAGAATCAAAAGCAATGGTGTAAATATGACAATTGCTAACAACACTGCACTTTTACTCTGCTGGAACAGAGATGAAATTACCAGTATAGAGATACATGAAAGCCAGACTTCACGTCTGTGCTCCTTGCTGACGAACTTAAGAATTTTTTATCTTGATATTCCCAGATTTATAGACAAAAAAAATTAAGAAGCTTAAATAATGGAAGATTGAAAAGTGCA